CAAATAATTTGACAATACACCAATCATATAACTTGACAATTACATTGAAGATTATAGTGGAAACAAAAAAAATATTACCCACAAGTAAAAGTTGGATACATCCCCAAATAGTTTTGTATTTGAAACAGATAAGGAATATGTGACTTCATCATTTTTACTTGGATATTTGAACATTTCTACAAAGGTTTCTCTAAAAAATGGCTGTGATATATCATGGAATGATTATATTCTCAACAAAAATTACAATCAATTTTTTCCTTGCCCTTTTGTGCTGCATTCAGTTAATGACAGTGGTTTGTAAATAATGTCTGAACCAGACAATCCAGTGATTGACATCATGAGCATCAAGCGACATCACTGAGAAACAATGATATATGCCTCAACCAAGCTGGCGAGTATGACCACCAAATCCTGTTAGTCAACTCTTCCAACATGCATGGGTTGAGTGCCAGGCCAAATGTTCACAGTGACACCTGTACTGCCTCCATAACCTGAGAACTGACTTATACAGATTTTCTCTTAACAATCCTGTCCAAAGTGGAGTAAAATAAATTAAAACAATGTTTCAAGGCATTGATTTATATTTTCATTAAAAACATGATCTCATGAAGTTATGTGCTATATTCTTCATGCAGGTACAGTGTAATGTAAGTTGCTTCAGACAACTAGTTGGTAATGAAAAGCTAAATTTGCAGTCACAACAAAAGTGAGACCAAGTAAAGTGTTGTTTCTATCAGAGACCCATAAATCAAGGCCCAACCCTTGCCACTTCCACACAAGTTGCTGCAGCATAACAGGCCAGGAGTGACCCAACACCTATTAAAAGAATGGGCACTAGCACAAAGCAGTCATAGTATAACTGCCATAGAAGAACATTGTTAAAATGGGGTAGATAGTTATCAAACTATATCACTCATGTAAGTGGTACCTGGTGGCAGAATTTCATATCCCAGGGGAGTTGTTTATGGGGTCAATGACACAGTTCCCTGGCAGCCCAGAGCACTGGATTACTATTGCTATTATTATTATATCTCACCACCACTCACTTACAAAATGACACTATGCTCCAGTTTGAGGTAGGCTAGCATGCATGATCACATCACCAAAGTAATGGCTTATAATGTTTAATCAAGTACTGCTATGTGTAACACGCCTTGGAAATGTAGAAAATAGAATATCAATATGATAAATAGCTTTAAGCCAGTACAGTCCTGGGATTGTGCAAGCATGAGGAGATGCAGCAGATGATCAATAGTCATCTAACATGGTTATGGAGCCAGTGTTTTACATACTACAACAGTAAGGATTCCTGGGCTATAGAGGTACTGGCCAGCTGTCAACGGTCAATAGTGGTGTGACTGGTCATGTGTTTAACTTTGACCAATCACCATAACATCTACTGCTTGTAAACAAAAACCACACCACCTCCATGGTCTGATGGATAAAGCATTCCTTGAGATATACCCCAGGGAGGTTTTAAAGCCCTTTGCCCATTGATCCATGTCTCACAACATTTTGACAGAAACTTGTAATTGAGAGGGAGATAACCCAATTAGCAGTGAAAGGGTAGAGTTTGGGGTGGGGTGGGGATTTCTACTGAATCAAGGGGGAATGTATGAAAGTCATAGATAAGATCAAGGATGTCTGTCTGCATAAAATCTGTATATATGCGGATCTGTCTAAAAATTACATACAAATGATATATGAGTGAGTGAGCTGGGTTTTACGCCACTTTTAGCAATATTGCAGCAATATCACAGCAGAGGACACCAGAGATGGGCTTCACAAAATGTACCCATATGGGGAATTGAACCCGGGTATTCAGCATGATGAGCGAACACTTAAACCACTGGGCTACCTCACTGCCCCTTTGATAAAAGTAACTAGAAATAATGAAAATATTCTTCTGTACTATTGTCCCACTGTGACCCGACATGTTTACAAACAAACATCGTTCAAAAACACTAGATTGAAATTAATCAATTATGACTTCATTATGCATTAGAAGTAACGACAAACCCTATCATTAACAAAATTCATATGGATCTCAATGTTTTTCCCTAGTTTTATTTACCGGGCGTCCAAACAGTAATTTCCACTAAACCCACAGTATAACAATGGAAGATAAAAGATAATCAGCAACATTTGCATAATCAAATTTGATGATGCTTATGATATTTAATAAACATAGTCGTTCAGTTCCATATATTGTGTGTACAACTTCATGACAATATAAGCAGACACAAAAAATTACTGCACATATCCTAGTTGCAAATTGGGTGTGTGTCAGTATTTACATTTCGCCTGTGTAGCAATGTCTTTTGTGTCTTTAAACTGCTTAAATGACATTTCTCTTCACTAAAAGTGACAATGACAGTTATTCTCGTCACGAATACTATGCAACAGTATCGCTGAAAATACTGAGAAATTATTCTAACAAAATGTTCCTGGATATTTCTGTACTAAATATATGGCTTGTCGCCAGTAGTTGAGGCAGTCACTGGGCAGTCCTGTCTGGGTCAGTGAAGTGCCAGTGCAGCATACCCAGGTTAACATGCTGGGATAAGTCCTGCAACCACACGCTTAGCATAGCACAATCTCATCTTAACATAACAGATTCCTACCACAGTAATCATGCTTGAAAGAAAAATGCTCACAGTTCCACCCAGATATATACTGAACTATCAGAACTACACTGATGTAAATCGGGAATACATGTCCCTAAAGACAGCAACCAACACAAACGGTCTGAATCAGAACATCTGGAATCTACAATCTGATTGGTTGTAAGGTTACCTACGTCCCACTGTTGATCAATCCAACTTGATTGGCTGCTATATTTAAGACAAGAGTCATGTTATTCTGTTATAAACATCCCATATATTCATTCCCTTGTATTCAATATGAGATAAATATAATAGGGCTGTCAACTTCTACATTAAATTTACCTCTCTCTGTTTCAGATCAATAGTGTCAATATTTTATTACTTCTCTTAAACAATCAACCCTTCAACCTATATCTTAACCTTCACTGTTGTAATTGTTAAAAATTAAATAGTCTGAAACTCAGTGAAAGGTGAAAGATATTCCGAGACATGCATAACTTTGATGATTTACGAACAACATGACCATGGCACCAATACAAGGGAAGGCAGGTCAGATCATTCTGTTATGTAATGGACACTGAGAGACACTGCATGATCTCATCTTTCTCCAGCACCTACAAAATGTAACTATTTCCAATATTTACATATACAGTCATCCCTCGCCATAACGCGGGTCTTGGGGTCCATGGATCACACACACACGACATATACGCCATCGCAATAACACACGACACTACACACGCACACACACACACCGCGTTATTAGACACCCGTGTTATAGTAACTATTACATAAAGCGGAACAAAGGCCAAGTAAAATCATATTTTCCATGGACATAACAAAACTGTTATTTCGGGTATTGTGCCCTGTCGAAACTATATCGTATTGTTGGACGTGAAAAAAACAACTTTGTAAATGAAAATAGATGTATGTACAGGAACCTTGCAATCAAACTTCACTAGACATGATAATTCAATTGTTGTTCCTGTTATGCTACCTGTTATTCAACTAAGCCGGAAATAGCAATCAGCTGTGCACAGATGTTTTGGTCCAATGTACCGGTGATTCAGTTAAAAACGATCCGATAACATAACATCAAAGAATTTGTATTCCATTATCAGAATAATTTATATCTTAAGGAGTTATTTTACAGAGATATCATATATTGCGATCGTATAAGTATAATGCATGTTTTCTACGAACATATTTAACATAACAATTAACATAGGCTAAGCACCTTGGGTTACATGGCGGGATACATTTTGCGTAGGAGACATTTTGACAAGTCACTGCATACTTCCCGCAGTACGTGCCACTTTGATTGTAAAAGCAAACTGTTGGCAATTAAATGTCAAATATGACTTCAATGAGTCAATAACGTGGGTCTTGGGGTCCATGGATGACGAAGCTGTAATCTGTTTGTGATTGCTGAGAAATATGTGAAATTAGTGCTATCGTGGTAGGCGCAAAAAACCCTCACGAATGTGGTAAGCGGAAGTTGTATGAAATCAGGTAATGCCATTTCACTCACGGTTTCTTCGTTATTACTGTAAACAGTTTTAATGAATGAAAATGGGATTGAATTTAATCAAATAAAATGTGTTTTCTGACATCATACGTTCTCGGATGGCAGTGTTTACCTCGCGCAATAACGCGGTGTGTTGCATCACAGCAGAAATTGTAAGTATTCGGTTGATGGCATGTCTTTATGATAAAGTTGTCTTTTATAAGTTATTATTATAATAATAATAATAATAATAATAATAGCATATTTGTACCGCGCATATATCCATGCTTATGCATGCTCAAAGCGCACAAATAAAAATGCAAGAAAGGCAAAGAGCTACAGTTCAAAGGCCATCTTGAACATGTGAGTTTTTAGATTGGATTTAAAGGTATGAAAGTCAGAACAGTCTCTGAGACTCTGTGGGAGACTATTCCAGGCCATTATTACGATGTTTCACTGTTCGTCTGATTATTATTGAGAAAACCCTTCATGTTTTATCATCTGAAAAACCATGGATATGTACGATAAACACTGTTGATTGCAATCCGCACTGAATTTCACTAGTTCACAACGTGATTAACCAGAGCTCAACAGTGAATTTGTTGATGTGCTATTTTCGATGACGTGAAGATGTGTGATCGCTGGGCAACTTTTTTTAAGGGAGCCATGGATTACCCCGTGGTTTATCCGAATCCGCGGTATCGCGAAGAGCGTTATTGAGAGGGATGACTGTATCATCTAGGTAAAACTGACGTCAAACTGAAGTAAAACTAACACAAAACCAGCACAGTGGGGAGGCAGTCAACAACACATGGCTGTTTCTGCACACTGATAACTACAGCATTGATTAACAGAAATCTGAGTCTAAGGGAGGTAACTCTACTTACCATCTAGTGACTCTACAGGAGAGTAGTATCTACTGTCATCTACTGAACGATCATCATTGTCACGGAGTAGAGGTGTTCGCTCATCAATATACCCTCTGGAAGCTGGGAAGAGATGAAAAACGGGATATGTACTTCCTGAATGTCTACTTCTCTCTTTGACATAACTATTCGTATAACTAAACATGCATCATAATAGAAAGGGAAAGAGAGAGAGATACTAGTATCTACTGCTTTGAATAGTATTGGCAATTGTACATTAGATTAAATTATTAATACTTAAATAAAACAGCTGGTTTGTAGGGCAGCATTTCCACTTTTTGTTACAGAAATGAGACATGATACAAAGTGTGAGACAGAATAAGTACTTTGAATGTACATTTTAATTATATTTTCACACAAAAGCCTCATATTGAAAGACAGGGTAACTATACATGGCATTAGTTAAACATCGCTTTTAAGACTCAGTACCACATGGCATTAGTTAAACATCGCTTTTAACACTCAGTACCACATGGCATTAGTTAAACATCACTTTTAACACTCAGTACCACATGGCATTAGTTAAACATCACTTTTAACACTCAGTACCACATGGCATTAGTTAAACATCACTTTTAACACTCAGTACCACATGGCATTAGTTAAACATCACTTTTAACACTCAGTACCCATCAAAACATGTGCACTGGCGTAGTGCCAACAAACCAAAATATAAACCATATTGACTCTGGAATTCGAATAAGATCCTAAAACAAGTCAATGCAGATTCTGTTACCTCTTTCCCTTTTCTCCCTGTCTTTGGTCTCCTGTGGCAGCACCTTGAAGTCGAGGAACCACGTCTCTACCCATGCCAGCACGAAGGAGATGATGAGCAAACAGTAGCTCAGGGGGTTCTTACTGCTCTGGGTGGAGCCAAACTGGACATATACAACCAGGCAGCTTATTAAAATCCTATATTATACATGGAATTCCTATATAACATATTGCATTCCTATGACATCCAGTATAACACATGACATTCCTATTTAACACATGGCATTCCCATACAACATATGGCATTATTGTGGGAGCAATTTCCATTTTTTCAGTACACTGTGGCGCCAAATAGTCAATGTCATCATGGTCAGTTGCTGAAATTTTGTAGTCATGGAAGGGGAAAAAGAAAAGAGAAAACAATTAATCAGGATCATTGTGAAACAGGACTAAAACCAAGCAACTACACTAGAGGATGGAGAAGATTTAGTACTTACATCAAATAAAAATATTTTTGCAACCAAGAAGGCACAGGACAAAAACGTTGTTACCTGAAACATGAAAAAGAAATATTTTTTACATCTTTTCATCAGCTAAATATAAAGGGAAACATATATATTAAAACTGTAAAGAGATATGCTTGAATACTGTTGTAACAAGAAGACAAAGTCATCAATATCCCCCGCAATGGCAAAATACTCTTCATGATTATGTCTACGAGTTATGATTATGTCAAATATTTCGGTGTGTATAGAGAAAAGTGGAATGAGAGTATTGAAAGGTTTTTAAAGTTCTGCTCCAGAAAGGAGCACTATCACCAATTTCAGTCAAAGTGAAATTTGTTGCCATGGAAACGTCAAAATATTTTATTCAGAATTCCAAAACTACCAAAAAGGAACTAGTACACCACCAGACCAATCTATGTGCCATGTTTGGTGAAGAAATTTTGAACCGTTTTAAAGTTCTGCTCTGGAAAAGAGCACAACCACTAATTTCATTCTAAGTCGAACTTGTTGCTATGGAAACGCCAAAAATGTAATTTTTTGAGTAAAATTGATATTTTATACTTATCCTGACTCATGCTCTTTTGCTTGTCTTCTTCTTCTTGCGAACATAGTGGAACACTTGTATCTCCTTAATTGAAGCTCCCTTCAATGTAAAATCACTAATTGGTACTCACCACGAGTTGCCTCCCTTGCCCTTTTGGCGGGAACAGGTGTCGCCACCCTCTGGCCTCATGCTTCACTCTCTCCTGATTTTATGAGCCCAACACTAGAATTTACAGGGAAATCAAAGTGTTATGTGGGGAGGATGGGAGGGCTAACCTCATGAGTCAGGATAAGTATAAAATATCAATTTTACTCAAAAATTACATATTTTTCCTTATCCTGACTCATGCTCTTTGCTTGTAGAATCCTCAGGAAGCGGAGGTGGGCAAAACAGAATACTTTGGATTTATAGAATTAGTGATTTATATAGATTTAACTGTAATAACCCCTCACGGAACTTCATAAAGGCATAGACTTAGGATAATTCCTCTATTATAAGCCATAGGTTATAATGCCATACTGGGGTATTTACATTATGATATACTGAGATATTATAAACAACAATATCAAAGCGACTCTGATAGAAGCTATACCACTGAACATATATACATACTGCTAGAACTCCATTAGAGTTATAAGCTAGATAATGCATGTAACAATTATGCATATTAATCTCGTAAGACTCGTGTTAACGTTCTACGAGGACTGTCAACTGCTGTGCGAGGACCAAGGGACGAGAAATGGTGAATGCCTGAGGCGTCCTCGGTGGTGATATCTCTCAGGTAAGTGATTAGCAAACACCATGTTAGATTTCCAAAAGCATCCTTCCATAATTGTATTCAAGAACAGTTACCGTAAGGCGAGAGTGGAAGCTAAGCCCTGATTTCATGGGGATTTGATGCTGTTGGAGGGTCCAGTCCTGCTGCCTTGTAGGCAGTATGACAGTTCTTATCCATATAGATATGGTGGAACGAGAGACTTCTGTCTGAGTTGTTGCCGACAAGGGAATGAATAATCGTTTGAGAAATCTTAGCCTTGTTTTGGAGCGTCGTTAAATAGATTTTGAGAGCTCTGACTGGGCATAGAGATAAGTCCAGTGTATCTTGAGATCGAGAATGGAGGATAATGCAGGGATATGAAATAACCTGTCTGGTTGACCTGGTAGTTGATTTTTTGCGATGAAATCCCATCTTAATCCCAGGTGTGCTGTGTTTTGATTGTCATCAAACTGTATCCTCTCATAATCTAGTGCGTGAATTTCGACATCCCTGGCTGCTGTGGCTAGAGATAACAGGGCGTTTTCTGTGAGAGAAGCTCAAAGTTTGTCGATTCCAGCGGTTCATAAGCCTCACTTGTGAGGTGTTGCAACACTATATTCAGATCCCAAGCTGGGAAGTGGAACTTCGCTTTTGGTCCTCCAATCGGAAGAAGCCGTAGTAAGGCCAGTAACTCTGGAGTTCTTGTTAATCTAACACCCGTTCTCATGGTAATGACAGAACTAAGCTGTGACAAAGATATGTTGACAATGTCGAGCCTTTTAAATGTTTGTTTTGCCGTAAGTAACACAAATAATCTGCCACTTGTGGATGAGTAGCATCTCTTGCTTTAAATCCCTTATTTACTGCGTAATTCTCAAAACTGTGCCACTTGTCGCCGTACAAGTTGCGTGTAGAATAAGCGTAAGGAGCAGCGTGACGCTTTGCGCCCTGGTAGAATACCCTCTCTTGTTTAAACACATTTTAATACAGTCCATACATTGAAGTTGGAATACTTCTGGGCTTCCGTGCACCTGTTTGGTGTGTGGATGTATTAATAGATTTGAGCTTGGGTAGCTCTAGTGTTGGTTGACCGATTTCTTGAATTAGAATGGGAAACCACGTTCTGCTTACGACCAGTAGGGCGACCAAAGTGAAGTTGGAGGCTCTGTGTTTGTCTGATTTTCTGTAACACCTTGAGGTATTATTGCTGGCGGGCGGAAGCGCGCGCATTGAGGCCTTCCCAGGATATGCTTAAGCGTCCGTTGCCCATGCTTGTGGGTCTGGGACTGGTGACACGAATGTCGGTAGCTGATTGTTGAAGCGTGTTGCGAATAGATCTACTAGCGGGCTCTATTTGCTTGATTATCTGTGCAAATATTTCTGTATTGAGCATCCATTCTGTCGGTGGCGGTTGATGTGGCCGAGAGAGTCGTCTGCTAGTACATTCTTGGCTCGGGGAATGTGACATGCTCTGACATGTAGGTTTAGATCGTGTATTAGATCGAACAGTTGAAAGCTTAAAGTCAATAGGTTCAGTGATCTTGTTGAACCTTGTTTGTTCACATAGAAGCGCCACTGTCGAGTTGTCGGTATGAATCATTAAGTCGCATTCTGTAGAATGTTGCTCCAATGAAGTATGGCGTTGATTACAGCTTTCATCTCTAACATGTTTATATGGAGCTTGCTTTCTTGCTGATTCCATAACCTGATGCGAATCGGTTGGCGAGATGAGCTCCCCAACCTTGGAGCGGTGGCGTCTACATATAGATGGGTTTTGAATTCCTGCTCTTCTAAACAAATACCATGAAACATTCAATCGACCTCCTGGTCCACCATAGTAGATGAGGTCTGAGGCGTTTTGGTAGACTGAATGGTTGTAGGTGCGTCGAGATGTGCATTGATGAAGACCTGTAATGGGAAGTAACTGTAATCTGCCTGAGACTGTCATGTCTTGGGCTGATGTGAGAGACCCAACAGCTCTGCCATTGTAAGTAGTGGTAACGGAGAGTAGAGCTGACGGAATGGTCTGTTGGATCTTGAGCCAGCGGTCTTCCAATCTGACGATACGGTTGTGATTAAGTGATAAATCGAATGCCTAGGAACTGCAGATCTTCGCGATGGTACTAGGTCGACTTGAGTAAGTTTACTAACCATCCTAGCTGTGTTAGTAGCTTTATGATGTAGTTTAACTGTAGTTTGAGATGCTGTGGATCTTGATCTACTTGTATCCCGTCGTCGAGGTAGAACGCACGCTCGTAGCCCTAGGACGATGTAGATAGGGTGACAATAGGTTTCGTTATCCTCCGTGAATAGCCAGGGGCTGATGATATGCCGAATGGGAGTACTTTCCATTGGTAATGTAGCCGATCTAGTGTAAATCTTAGATATTTCCTGGATTCGGGATGTATCGGGATATGTAGATAAGCGTCTTGCAGATCTATACTGGCCATGTAATCCATGGAAGGCGAATCAACTGCCGTAACTGAGGAAGGTGTATCATGCGAGAAACTTTGGTGGTTTCGCGTAGATAATTCCTGTTGAAAAAGCTCATGTTGTAAATGAGTCTGTATTTCTCCTTGGAGTTTTTCTGCGGTACTAGGAAAACTGGGGAGTAGAAGCCTGGTTCGATGTCTACTTGATCTAGTACTTCTATGGCCTGCTTGGTTATGAGTGATGTAAACGCCTCTCTTAACTTTGGTAGTTGTTGTGCCTGTAAATCCGAACTTGTAAGGGTTGACTGTCAGCGGGCGTGGCCTGTAGTGGGATACTGAGAAATCCGTGTTGAAGAATGTTGGAGACATAAGGGTCTTTAACATTCCCAGTTCTCCAATTAATGTCGTTGGAGGCGTCCACCCACTTGTGGCGGTTGTACTGGAGCGGCTGGGGTGGAAGACTCCAGTCGTTCGAACCTGTCTTTCAGCGTTTATAGTTGCGGAACCTCTGGGTGTCCTGCCTCTTCCTGACCCTCCTCTATAGTTGCCATATGGGCGACGTTAAAAGAATCTTTTCCCCTGGCTGGCTATTTTCCTATCCCGTGCTTTCTGTAGTCCCGAGAACTTAGATCTCCCTGAGTATCTTTGTGAAGTCTGCCTGATGGCGGCTTGCTAAGCGTGTCCATCGACTTGATCATAAGGACTTCTCTGGAGTCCTTAGTGACTTCCTTGGAGACTTTGTCTATTCCTCCGTCAAAGATGTTTGGGGATGACCGGGGCTGTATAGAGTGGAGCTGTAAAGTTCTCACCCCAGCTGCAGGAAGCGAGGAGGCCTTGACTGACGAGCTAAGGTCAGTGCTGCTGAGACAGATGTGAGATGATCTGTAAGGAACTGCTGGTCCTTCTTTTTGCATCAGTAGGGCCGAGTAGATCATCCTATCATCTTCAGAGGTAGAGTATTCATGAAATCTGGTGATAAGTGTCTCATTGATCGTTCTAGATCTATTTAGGCCAAAGAACATGCGTCTCGTCATGTTTTCTATCTGCACCAGCTTGCGATCGTCAATCTTGTAGTTCTTGTTCTTAACATCGCTGATCAGCTTGTAGTTTTCATCGATGTCTTGTGCCTTCAGGAAGGGTCCATGTTGTGCGTGGAGAACTTCTTAAGCGAAAGTTCGGCAGATGTGGAGTCTGCACTTTCGTAGCTTTAATGAAGGCTGTATCTAGATTATGTGGCACCGCAGCAATCGGGTCGTCGGAGTAAGGTGATGGCGTCTGCATCGTCTTCCTTCATCAGGTATGTCTCGCGCTGAGTTGCCACTCTTGGGACGTGAAGATAAATCTAGGTTGTTTACCATCCAATATCTTATCTCAGCGTCTGAGAAGATGATGCCTCCATCATCTTCTGTACCAGCATCGGAGATGAGAGGTTGATGCTCTTCTGATGGTGACCTCTGGGCTGCTATCTCTATGTCGGGTGACACCGGGGAGACCTGAGTGTAGACCTGTGTGCCGACTTGTGTGATGACCTGCGAGGTGATATGCGTGGAGATCGGCGTGGTGAACGGCGTGGAGATCGTCTAGGTGATCTGCGTCTATGGGAAGACCTAGATCTCGCGAGGAGAATGTTGGCGGCCGTGAAGCTCTTGAATAGTCCTCGGCGTCCTTCTGGGCGATGGCGATCTGTGTGGTGACGCCGTGCAGCTTCCTCTGCGTCGGACCTGGGGGCGGCGCCTTGACTTCCGTGGCGGTTTCCGTGGCGTCTGGTGGTCTGAGTCTGCATCTGAGGGGCGAGGCGAGGATGATGGCGATCTCTCCCGTCTTCGCTGAAGGCCTTAGCGGCGACTGTACATCATCGTCGTCGTTGTTGGTGGTCTGTGACTTCCTTCTCGAAGGCTGCTTCGTCGTGGCTGCTACGCTGACTGGGGGGTGCCTCTGGGGTATCGTCTGCGTTGCTCGGGCCCTGGGCTGGCTGCTTCCCCGACTGTAGTGGCCCTCCATCATGGTCATGATCTGCGCAACAGCTTCGTCTGGGATGGTCTCGCGGCCAGTAGTCGGTGCCCTCTCTGCGATGACAGCTGCTGACCCCTCAGAAGTCGTCTGACATCAGTGTAGAGGCATCAGGCTGCATGGCAATCTCTGCTGATGTCACTGTAGCTGTCACGCGGTCGCTTCTTGTGGCGTCACGTCAGGGATGATGATCGGCTGATCATCGTAGAGGCCAGTTCGGTGGCTGGAACAATCTCGGCTGAGAAAGTTCTTGGCGACTTCGTGAACTTCCCCTTAGATGTCGGCGCTGCCCTGGGGAGTCGAAGTCTGCGTTGGGGAAGGCGTCGTGGCCCTCTTGGACTTTATCTGCGATGGCGGGGCGTCTGGGGAGGCAGGGCGCTTCTTAGTGTTGGCGGACTGCATCCCGCAGCCATCTTCCGGCGAGTCTCTTGCGAAACACCAGGCGGGAGGGTCTATCGACAGCAGCTGACTGGAAGGGGAATCCGATGTATCGGCCATGTCTAACCCTTGTTTGCGTGACCTATCTGCTGTACGTCTCGGCGCAAAGATATTTATGAAAAGCAGAATTGGATAGATTAATGCAGTAACTGCAGCGTGTATCAAACGCACAAAGTAGCACAACTAGGGCATAATACATGCGGGTCAGCAATTGAAAAGCGTAAATTGCAAATAGTACAGATTTTCATCAGCGTAAATACTAGCTGAACAATCACGAACTCGCGTGAATAAACAGTAGAAATACGATTAAATATCAATGCAAATTAATGAAGGATACTAGCTATACCTCTATAGTAACCTATAAGAGGTAATAAACTAGAAAAACCAAAGGATATAGTGTGTAAGGAGACACAGGCGCTCTCACATCCTGCTCACTGGGCGAAGAAGGAGAGAGTGAAGCATGAGGCCAGAGGGTGGCGACACCTGTTCCCGCCTAAAGGGCAAGGGAGGCAACTCGTGGTGAGTACCAATTAGTGATTTTACATTGAAGGGAGCTTCAATTAAGGAGATACAAGTGTTCCACTATGTTCGCAAGAAGAAGAAGACAAGCAAAAGAGCATGAGTCAGGATAAGGAAAAATATGTTTTATTCAGAATTCCAAAACTACCAAAAGGCACCAGTACACCACCAGATCTATCTATGTGCCAAGTTTGGTGAAGAAATACTTAAAGGTTTTAGAGTTCTGCTCCGGAAAAGACAAATGTGCACAGACGGACGGACGCACGCACGCACGGACGGACGGAGTCCATTTTAATACCCCCCCCCCAAAATGCGTTGAGGGGGATAAAAATGGAAATCAAATATCACTGCATATTTTGTAAATTTCACAAAAATTGTTATATAAAATCTCTTCAGCTTTCTAAAGATATAAGTAATTAAGCAGATGTTTAGTCTAATGATGTCACTACCATTTTTTACTACGGCAGGATTTCAAACCAAGGAGTGCAATATCTCAGTCCAAAAGTTATATTCACTTCCTATCTGATGTTAAGTTTGTAGCAATAAGCAAATCAGGAACTGACAAGATGCAAATATTGCCAATTAAATCACACACTTGATGGAAAGCCCTGACTGGACTACGGATAGAACAGGTCCCCAGTGCTCTTTGGCTATCATATGAAGCAAGTAAACGGGATTGGGTGGTCAGGCATGGTGATGTTACTTTACCCCTATAGTACAAGCCTTTGCTCATACTATCTCCCGGTGGCATTGGTATGCTCTGACAGGGCGATGGAATACACTAGTGAGTGGGTGAGTTCAGTTTTACACCGCCTTTAGCAATATTCCAGCAATGACACCAGAAATGGGCTTCACACGTACCCATATTGGGAATTGAACCCGGGTCTTTGGCGTGACAAGCCAATACTTTAACCACTAGGTTACCCCACTGCCCTGGGATGCTCTAGTATTTAAAATGGTAGCTCATCACCAAAATTGACCTCTTTTTTTTTTAACAACTACACTGGTTGCGGACCAATCTTAAACAATTCTTTCCCAGAAATGGCGACATAAGGAAGTTAATCCTGGTTTTTGGCATCACAAACAAGTGAAGAAGTGAGCACAGCTCACATACCCCCGCTTCCCACTTTGTGACATGGAAATGACTGATATTGATATATATAATGTGACAAGGATCAGCAGCTCACAAGACTTTCTCCTTGACTCTACTAAACTTTATATACATGTTAGATAATAGTTTTGCCATGTACCGATTACAGTAATAATTTATGGAAACATTATTTTTTTGTGTTTTCCGTGGAAACCTTACATACAATTGAACTTGTTGCACACAATGAAGTGGACGTAGATGAAGATTGTTAGTTTTTAGCACATGGCATATCTGTGGGTCATGATTAACTTGTGTATTAAGTTTGGTGAACCTAGCATGTATAGTTTCGATTGATATGCTGTGGCCAGGTAACCATCAAACACATTTTGCACCAAGTCATGTTTTCATGGAAACAACAACAAAAGAAATTCTGAAAAACTTTAAAATAGAAAAAGGCACATCAATGGGTAAAGATAAACATGTGTGTGAAGTTTGGTGAACCTAGCATGTAAACTTTAAGAGATATGCTTCGGACAAAACCATCAAACACATTTGGCACCAAGTCGTGTTTCCATGGAAACAGCCAAACAAAAAGAATTCTGAAAAAACTTTAAAATAGCAAAAGGCACATCAATGGGTAATGATTAACATGTGTGTGAAGTTTGGTGAACCTAGCATGTAAACTTATGGGGATATGCTCCAGACAAAACCATTAAACACATTTGGCACTAAGTCGTGTTTCCATGGAAACAGAAATAAAACAAAATTCTGAAAAAAAATTAAAATAGCAAAAGGCACATCAATTGGTAATGATTAACATGTTTGTGGAGTTTGGTGAACCTAGCATGTAAATTTTAGGAGATAAGCTCCGGACAAAGTTTCGGGATGGAAGGAGGGACGGACAGAATGAATGAACGCTATATACCCCCATTACTTCGAAGCGGGGGTATAACTAGGCTCTATAAGGCTCTCCACCCAAAACAATGTAGTGAGAACATTATACTATCTCCCTGAAGCATTTTCTTGCTCTCACCAGGGTAGCCTAGTGGTAAAAGTGGTTGCTCATCACATTGAAGACCCATGGGTACAATGTGTTAAGCCCATTTCTGGTGTCTGCTGCCAAGATATTGCTGGAATATTGCTAAAAGTAATGTAAAACCCAACTCACTCACTCTTGCCCTGTGTATGATGTACATAGTACCACTATTGCACAGTTTGAAGATTTCAACAAACAATACAAACAAGGACACACTATTAACCAAGTCACCAAAATTGATCTCTGTGTATTTACAACTACATAGGTTTGCAGACCAATCTTGTCCTACAATGAAAAGGGGATGAGGAAGTGACTCCAGGTGCTTGGCGTCACGAAACCAGGATCCATAAAGCTTTCCACCCAAAACAATGCAGTGAGAACCTTGTAAACAACTCTCCTACATGTTGTAATACAAATACAGTAAACTACCTATATAACTAAGGGACCGCTAGTTTTAGTTCGTAATAACAGGAGCGTGTTATACACATTCCTACTAAAATATACAGCAAGTGTCCAGGGCCCAGAACACAGCTATTTATATCCTTCAGTTCATATTAAGTGTGTTCACTATAAATGTAGTTTCCTATAATTGATCAATTGTGAATGAGTGAGTGATCGAGTGATCGAGTGAGTGAGTGAGGTTTTTACGCCGCTTTTAGCAATATTCCATCAACATCACGGTAGGGGACACCAGAAAATTGATCAAATGCAAAATAACAACCTTATAGTATTACCAATGTAGGGACCATCTGTGTATACAACGTAAAAGAAGTTTAAAATCAACCTATTTAATCATCTGACTACAGTTAACATGTCACGGGTGGTGGCTACTGCATCACACACCCTCCAATCATGGGGACCTTCAAAGATCTTCAGCAACCCATGCTTGAACAAGGGGAGGTGGTGGACAGGTTTACTGACTTGTTGACACGTCATCGTATCCCAATTCACAGATCAACATGATCAATGCATTCTCAGATTATTTACTGCCTCCATATATGTATGGAATATTGCTGAGTAAACAACAAACAAAATCCAATCATGGGTGTTGTGTAAGTTGTTTTGAGTGGTATACACTAACATCTATGGTGACGCCACTTGTACTTACAGCTACCATCCACCAGTGTTTTAAATTGAACAAAGCATAGGCCAGTAAAAGGAATGTAAGGCGCACTGCAGACAACATCTGAAAGAGTAATAGATAGATAGTTATTTCAATGATTATATATCATAATTTCAGGACATAAATGGGGACCTAACAAATGAATTGAGAGGCTCACTTTACTGAGAAAAAAGAAATATTACTGAATAACACAGCATTACAACTTGTTCAGCAAGTAAAATTATGTTTTTTTATGAACACAATGTAAAAAGAAAAGTAAAATGTTTTACGTTAATGAGAGTTCTGGCAACTGACAAGACATTATGAGTCTGACAGTCAAACTAAGGCCTTCTGGATATCTGTCATTCAATGGTTATCCAATGGTTATCCAATGGCTATCCGATGGTTATCCAATGGCTATCCAAAGGCCTGGTTGGTCATTGAAACCAGATTAAATGCCAGTAACTAATATAAACATTATTGAACTACAATTTGAGTAGAATTAATAAACTGGATTACAAACGTAAGTCCAGATATGCAAGTTTAAACCATGAACATGTTTTATTATGAAATAGTGTGACAAAGGACTAACTTGTGTATTTCAATACAGATTTGTTGATACTCTATTTCTGATGATCACGATGAGGCGAGGTGAACATAGGTTGGTGGTTATGAGGTCATATAGAGTAGTAGTTTGGGGCTAGGGTATGAATTGCACCATGCAATCCACACAGGGTGATAGTAATACTCGGAACAGTGAACATTTGTGGCTGGTATTTGTCAGAAAAATATTCATGCATAAGTATTGCAAAAGGTCTCTATGAAGCCATATTAACTGTTCACAAAACTCACCACAGTATCAAACAGTGAAATTGTGAAGTTGTATCCTGCAACTTGTTTCTGAAAGGCGACCCAACCTTTATCCCCTATGAGCTGAAAACAGAAACACAAAAGTTATACACTTCAGTCAAGGTATGTCCAAGTTCAGTCAGTCTCAAGGACCTCACCACTCCTAGTACAATCCATGCATTACAGTGTTATTCATACGATAAGTTCTGTTTCAGAGAATTAACTTGCACCAAGTAAGTGAGTGCATGGTTGACTTAAAGCAGGGCTGACACAAAGCAGGGCAGAATTTAATGAACTGAAGTTAACTTGCATAATGACATGAAAACCTAGTTGCACAAGGATAAAAGAAACTGCACTCTGCTACGATACAATTATCAAAGCTGCTATAGGTTTGCTGATAGCATTATGTAATGTAAGGATGTATTGCTGCAAACAGTTGTAGGAACATGTGCACATAATCTTGAAGCAGCCACAGTTTGATGACTTGAGGCCAAACAATGCATAATTAATGTCATAAAATAGTGATTCAACATGGTCAATACATAATGGAAGTTTTATGCTTAAATATTGAAGCAGAAGACTAATAACTATGGATGTCAACTTCTCCTTTATTGACATCCATAATAGTCCATAATTATACTTGAATACAAAAGTCTATATGCCTCTCAAGGACCTCATCAAATATTGAGTTTTGAGGTCCAGTATTGGTTACTCAGACATTCAAAAAGAAAAATTCAAATTTGAAATGAGGCAAGTAGACATACATATTAAGCTACACTTCTCATTAACAGGTTGCATGTTGTATAAAGCTAAATGAGTTCTTCAAAGGTCCCAACACATGGAACAGTCTCCTGAATGTCTGCCTTGAGGACAATGAACTACAGTCTGTTTTGAGACAGGGTGTGTTCTCACCTGAGTATAGATGACCCACAGGATGAAGGTGAGGATCAGATCGAAGGCCACGAACAGACAGAAGGTGCGCCTGACGGCAGACATCTTGCCCCGGCTTTCATCCATCAGGGAGCTGTTGCTGTATGTCCCACTGATTTCTGGCCATCCACTGAAACAGAGTGAGTGAGTTTAGTTTTATGCTGCTTTTAGCAACATTTCAGCAATGTCACGGCAGAGGACAACACAAATGGGCTTCACACATTAGTGCCCATGTGGGAATCGAACCTTGGTCTTTGGCATGACAAACAAACACTTTAACCACTAGGCTACCCCACCGCACCTCCACTGAAACAGAAACATTCACAGAACTCACTAACACAAAAAGAGGCAAACATCGAGAACAAACATAATGCTCATCTGAAGAAGGCAGAGGTCATTGATACCACAATCAAAGATGGCACACTCTATAGAGTTGAATAAAGACTCTTCTCAAGTATAATCTCTGTTCTGCTCAAACCCTGTGCTGCTTGAATTAAGTAAATGTCAATTTTGCCATTCAGGAAAAGAAAGAGCTCAGTGATTACTTGTTCCTGCCACAGATTCACATTCACAAAGATACAATATTACTGGTTGGAACAGATTGTACTGAATGCTCCACTCATTATCACAGCTGACAAAATCAGAATTACTTTCACAAGCTCATGCATGTAAAATTTATATGTTGTATACATGCAACAAGTATATTAAAACTGGTTGCCATGACAGTTTTGTTGCTATGAGTCTCAAACGTCAGCAATATATATCCTAATACTCAACCTATTACAGTTTCCATATTGACAAGGCAATGTCATGAAAAGTATACCACAGACTGAATAAGCAGCATATCATAACCAATAACATTCATTGGCATCATATTGTATACATATATAGACATGTATATTATATATTGCACTAACTATAGGCAATAACTGTTGTGGCATCACACTGTACACCAATAATGCACATGAAACACAAAATTGAAAACTACAGTGATTCATATTACAATTTATACAATTAAGAATCACAGAAATTGACAATTTCACCTATCAGGCTCGTTTATAATGGGTCACTTTGTACATGTTATTTCTGTGTACATTGTATATGCTGCTGACAATATAACTAAGGATCACCTGAGTCTTTCATGTTAACACAGTTAATTTGTCATAGCACATAACCAAGTTACTGAGGAGTCATCAAACAGTGTTTGGTTTGATCGAAGTACCTCTCACAACAATATTATTCTGAAACTGAAACAGATGAGCAGCAGCTGAACCAGTCAGTGTTGCATGATGAGGAGTGCTCTTGGCTGGAGCTAGTGGCTGACATGAAACTAACAACTTGGTCTGGTGACCAAGTTGTTAGTTTCATGTCACCCACTAGACCTGTCAGAACAAAATCTGTACCAGAACAGTTTCAGGACTTTGTGATGAAGTGAATAGTTAGAATTAAGCTCTTACAGTGTTAACTGTTTGTTTTTAAATTGGTTCTTAATTGGTTCCATTTTGGATATCTAGTCAAGAGGTGACCCAGAGATTATGTTTTTGTTAGCTAGGAGAGAATGTTTTTTTTTAGTAAAAGGTATCCTGTTGTAGTTATAATCGTGAATGTCGTGTTGTTTTGGTAATTATAAAATCTGACTGTTTCCCATATTTTATCCAGATTAGACTACTGTAATTGTCTACTTGTCAATACCACTAAAGAACAGATTAAAAGACTTCGAACCCTTCAGAACACTGCTGCCAGAATCGCATCCAGAGCATCAAAGTTGGACCACATTTCCCCAGTACTCAATGAGCTCCATTGGTTGCCAGTGTCTTTCCGCATTGACTATAGGGCGCAGACAACTAGACCCAAAAGGCGAGTGTACTGCTTGGTAGTGTGTATGTTTGATCCAGGGGTGTGGATGGAGAACCCTGAGGTGATCACATTGACTAGCATGGCTATAGGACACAACACACAGGCTCACTGACTCACTGGTAACCATAAATAAGTAGGATTGGAAACATAATTATGATAGCATATTCAATACAAAAAGCAAATTGAAACTTTTCTTCTTATGAGAACCATGACTATTACAAAAACAAGACTGACCCTTTCTGAATTTTCAAAAAGCAATCATTGTATAAGCAGTGGATATTTCCTTGATGATTCAAAACCTGATACTTCCTGATCAACGTTATGTGTATACGTTGATCTGCTTGTGTGCTCTGGCTTGTTTACACTAACATCATCCTTGTTCCCATAAACAGGTTTAGGATACTGACAAAAAAAATAACCTTGCACAGTACATGTCAACATAAGGAGTAACGACAACCAATGCTTAGAATTGCACAGTTACCATCAGATGTAGGTCGCTGTGACTCGTGCGAGTAGCTGGAAAATTGCTGATGCTGTGTAGAGCATCATTCATTCATTCATTCATTCATTCATTCATTCATTCATTCATTCATTCATTCATTCATTCATTCATTCATTCATTCATTCATTCATTCATTCATTCATTCATTCATTCATTCATTCATTCATTCATTCATCGATTGACACCATGAGCATCAATATATGTAATTGGGATACAATGACATGAGTCAACCAAGTCAGCTAGCCTGACCCCCAATTATGTTAGACACCTCTTACAACAAGCATGGGTTGCTGAAGACCAATTATAAATTCGGTGTTCACGGCTTCACATGTTCACATCAAGGAGATGACCAATTTTCAAACAGAAACTGCTATGGAAAATGATGCTATATATCATCCTTATTACATTTATGAAATCAAACAGGATTTGAAAATATTACAAAGATTGATTTGTGAGTTTCCCCATGTTCTCCTACAGTCAGGGTGTCAGACAATGATACACAGCGGACTGCTTCTGGAAAGTGGGGAAGAATTTGAGGACATTTTACCTGGTTTACAATTACCTGGTTTACAATTACCTGGTTTATTACCTGGTTTACAATTACCTGGTTTACAATGTTAATATTGTCTGTGGGTTTCAGGCTCGACTAAATTTAGATCAGGTGTTAAGACATGAATGACTATCGATTTTGGCTCCTATAATGTGGAATGTTATGATGTGTCATTTTATACCATTTCAATGATTTATTCGTATGTCTTGCCCAGCTGGAAGATTGCTGAGTGCAGAATTAGATAACAAACACATACTTACAACCACACTGATACTAACACCAAATTTGTACTATAGTCCATCTGGCTCAAAAACGGACCGATGAATTGCAATCTAACTCAAAAACTAATAAACATATAATACCAATGAAGTGAGTGAGTGAGTTTAGTTTTACGCTGCAATATTCCAGCTATATGGCGGCGGTCTGTACATAAACAAGTCTGGACCAGACAATCCAGTGATCAACAGCATGAGCATCATTCTGCGCAATTGGAAACCGATGACATGTGTCAACCAAGTCAGCGAGCCTGACCACCCGATCCTGTTAGTCGCCTCTTACAACAAGCATAGTCACCTTTTGTGGCAAACATGGGTTGCTGAAGACCTATTCTACCCCAGATCTTCACGGGTTTAATACTCAATGAAACATTGACCATAACCAAAACATCGGACCAACTCTATGAGTTTTTTGCAGAACCTATGTCCTAAAAATAACAAAGTTGTTTAACAAACTATCTTTAAAATATTTATACAGTTCAATATTTGTTACAAGGGAGGAGTGCAAAGAGAGGAACAGCCAGGTGTGCGAGAAAGGATGGAGACGACACAGCACAAATAAATGAATCAATAACTTTGTCGGCACATGTGCACGTGCCTGGTATACACATGGCTGTTCCTCTCTTTTGCACTCCTCCCTCATAACAAATAGTGATCTGTGTCAAGATTTTATTGATAGTTTGTTTAATAACCTTTTTTATTTTTATTATTTGTTTAGTAGTTTTCGAGTTAGATTGCAATTCATTGGTCTGCTTTTGAGCCAAACAGACTATAGTAAACCTAAATATCAACCACAACAATGTACCATAAACACAACAGGCTTATTTACCAAAACAAGGTGATACTTATCAGAACCATACACATCAAATGTGTTTGAGGGTTTGAGTAAATATACAGTTTTAATAACAGTTGCTAGGAAACCAATGATGAACTATTGTTTTCTGTAAACAAAAATGTTCTGTTATGTTTAATTTTGTTTTGGTAGTCAGAGTGTGCAATTACACTGAATACAGTAAATGTGCTGCAGTAAGAAGGGTAGTTGGATTTGATACCAATGAGAAGACTTTTTCCAGTTAAAACCACTCCATAAGAGTTGGCTGAGGGGAAAAGCCCAACTTACCACTTGACACTTTCATATGATTTCAATGAATAGGACTCCCTGGTCATACCAGCAACGCAGGAAAGATTTGAAACTCATTTCCCAGTTTTTGAGGAAATTAATTTCAGATCTATTTTCTATTTTAACAATGCACACCACATCATTGTGTCAAACAAGGAAGTCTAAACGTGACCTGTCAGTGTGTCACCAGCATGTGCTTGTTATTCTCACAATACTTCACTATTGTTTGTCATGTGTAATGTATATCTAAAAAGTGGGTCGACATGAACCATGTTTGCAGATATCTGCAGGGCAACAGTTACCCCATGGTGTATTTGCTCATATGTTATCATTTATCAGATAGTCAGTATACTGCTATCCCCTTCTAAGGTCCAGTCTATTGGATATTCTCTAATTCATCAGCAGACGTTATTCAAATATTTCTGCTTTAAATCCTGTCTCAGGTAACAGTTTAAACTTCTAACTTACTTCTGTTCAGGTGCTCATTTTCAGGCCTGAGTGAGTCATCCGTCACATAAGCTCTCAACACTGATTCAGGTCTCACTTATAAACAGGGAGACAGGGTCATTTTTTGTATTATCCACTGCTGTGGAGTTTATAGGTGATAGTGAATAGGTGATGTCTGCATAAGATCAGCAAATCAGCAAGATAATCAGGGATGCACGCTAGGAAAGGGTACATTTCCAAACTTTGCCAGGTATATGTTAATCCAAGCAAATCCAAGTGAATAGCGTGAAGGTGATATATTTTGAATAATAACTACCACGCCTATCTGAGGCTAGCTGGTTGGGTGACCCTTGAAAACATCTCTGACTTCTCACCTCAGTCTATCAAGTCGGCTGTAAACTATGTTATCATACTGAATGTGTTGTACCAGTCTGGCATTGGTTTTGACTGCTGTTTGTGTGCATGGATGTGATACTCTGATCCTTGGGCCAGGTATGTTCTGAAGGGGACCCATCTACAACTGGATTACCCACACCTATGATTACGGTAGCTTTGTGACATATTGTTTAATAGAAATACAACATTACAAGTTGCTGGGTTTTTTGACACTATGCACACATTCCTTTTTCCTTTCATATGTTCAAATAATGAAAACGGTGAAGTCAGCTTCAATGTGACAGTAATTGCCAAGGTTCATGTAACTATAAATCCCAATCAGACATTTTGTGCCCAATTCCTGTGATTTGCAGCAGGTGAGTCGGGAAATAGGGAGTCAGGTATTCGAGAAATAAATTTATAATTAGTCCATCCCTACTGATTTGCTCAGCTAGAAGTTTCACATCTTCACACACATTTTTTAAGTAAATATGCATATTGTGACCTATGTATCACAATATGTATCGCATCACGACTTTGCTGTTTTTGTTCATCTCTATCTCTTAGTCAAGCTAAGAGAAATCGCCTTGAAAAAGTATAAACACGTAAATGGAAACAAGCTGTGATGAACAAAATCATATATGTTTACTAACATCTCACAACACTTCACGGTAGGAGACTACAAGGAAACAGTTTGAGACATTATCTAATATTATTAGTCTAATCACTGGAAACTGTTCTTGCCCTATTGAACCCTTACACAGTCACTATATCTTCATTAATCTGTGGAACCCTTACACAGTCACTATATCTTCATTAATCTGTGGAACCCTTACACAGTCACTATATCTTCATTAATCTGTGGAACCCTTACACAGTCACTATATCTTCATTAATCTGTGGAACCCTTACACAGTCACTATATCTTCATTAATCTGTGTATCATTAAATCTGTCATTTTGAACCCTTACACAGTCACTATATCTTCATTAATCTGTGTATCATTAAATCTATCATTAAATCTGTCATTTTGAACCCTTACACAGTCACTATATCTTCATTAATCTGTGTATCATTAAATCTATCATTAAATCTGTCATTTGAACCCTTACACAGTCACTATATCTTCATTAATCTGTGTATCATTAAATCTATCATTAAATCTGTCATTTTGAACCCTTACACAGTCACTATATCTTCATTAATCTGTGTATCATTAAATCTATCATTAAATCTGTCATTTTGAACCCTTACACAGTCACTATATCTTCATTAATCTGTGTATCATTAAATCTATCATTAAATCTGTCATTTTGAACCCTTACACAGTCACTATATCTTCATTAATCTGTGTATCATTAAATCTATCATTAAATCTGTCATTTTGAACCCTTACACAGTCACTATATCTTCATTAATCTGTGTATCATTAAATCTATCATTAAATCTGTCATTTTGAACCCTTACACAGTCACTATATCTTCATTAATCTGTGTATCATTAAATCTATCATTAAATCTGTCATTTTGAACCCTTACACAGTCACTATATCTTCATTAATCTGTGTATCATTAAATCTATCATTAAATCTGTCATTTTGAACCCTTACACAGTCACTATATCTTCATTAATCTGTGTATCATTAAATCTATCATTAAATCTGTCATTTTGAACCCTTACACAGTCACTATATCTTCATTAATCTGTGTATCATTAAATCTATCATTAAATCTGTCATTTTGAACCCTTACACAGTCACTATATCTTCATTAATCTGTGTATCATTAAATCTATCATTAAATCTGTCATTTTGAACCCTTACACAGTCACTATATCTTCATTAATCTGTGTATCATTAAATCTATCATTAAATCTGTCATTTTGAACCCTTACACAGTCACTATATCTTCATTAATCTGTGTATCATTAAATCTATCATTAAATCTGTCATTTTGAACCCTTACACAGTCACTATATCTTCATTAATCTGTGTATCATTAAATCTATCATTAAATCTGTCATTTTGAACCCTTACACAGTCACTATATCTTCATTAATCTGTGTATCATTAAATCTATCATTAAATCTATCATTTTGAACCCTTACACAGTCACTATATCTTCATTAATCTGTGTATCATTAAATCTATCATTAAATCTGTCATTTTGAACCCTTACACAGTCACTATATCTTCATTAATCTGTGTATCATTAAATCTATCATTAAATCTGTCATTTTGAACCCTTACACAGTCACTATATCTTCATTAATCTGTGTATCATTAAATCTATCATTAAATCTGTCATTTTGAACCCTTACACAGTCACTATATCTTCATTAATCTGTGTATCATTAAATCTGTCATTTTAAATCTGTCATTTTGAACCCTTACACAGTCACTATATCTTCATTAATCTGTGTATCATTCATTAAATCTGTCATTTTGAACCCTTACACAGTCATCTTATTAATCTATCATTAAATCTGTCATTTTGAACCATTAAATCAGTCACTATATCTTCATTAATCTGTGTATCATTAAATCTATCATTAAATCTGTCATTTTGAACCCTTACACAGTCACTATATCTTCATTAATCTGTGTATCATTAAATCTATCATTAAATCTGTCATTTTGAACCCTTACACAGTCACTATATCTTCATTAATCTGTGTATCATTAAATCTATCATTAAATCTGTCATTTTGAACCCTTACACAGTCACTATATCTTCATTAATCTGTGTATCATTAAATCTATCATTAAATCTGTCATTTTGAACCCTTACACAGTCACTATATCTTCATTAATCTGTGTATCATTAAATCTATCATTTTGAACCCTTACACAGTCACTATATCTTCATTAATCTGTGTATCATTAAATCTATCATTAAATCTGTCATTTTGAACCCTTACACAGTCACTATATCTTCATTAATCTGTGTATCATTAAATCTATCATTAAATCTGTCATTTTGAACCCTTACACAGTCACTATATCTTCATTAATCTGTGTATCATTAAATCTGTCATTTTGAACCCTATCATTAAATCTTCATTAATCTGTGTATCATTAAATCTATCATTAAATTGAACCCTTACACAGTCACTATATCTTCATTAATCTGTGTATCATTAAAAATCTATCATTGAAATCTGCCATAATCTTGAACCCTCTACACAGTCACTATATCTTCATTAATCTGTGTATCATTAAATCTATCCATTTTGAACCCTTACACAGTCACTATATCTTCATTAATCTGTGTATCATTAAATCTGCCACTTTGAACCCTTACACAGTCACTACATCTTCATTAATCTGTGGATCATTAAATCTGTCATTTAAGTGCTTCAGATAATCAGACGGAAGAAATTCCTGAGGAAACAAAAAACGTCTGTCCAATATGAGTCCCTGAGCAATACATTTCTGATGCAACAAGTGTACTTTGACCATCATGGTTGTGGGTCACCGTGCCCTTACTTCACATCAAACGACATGAGACTGGATTTCACATCACATACAGCGAGGTGCATGCATAAGTCTGTGTGGCTGCTTGCTGGACTTGCGCTGGTTTTATAGGGCAAGCCCACTGAGATACTATACAGTTAATGGGTTGGTGGGGGTAGCCTAGTGGTTAAAGCATTCGGCCATCACGCCAAAGATCCAGGTTCGATTCCCCACAGGGGGAAAATGTGTGAAGCCCATGTCTGGTTTCCCCCACCGTGATATTGCTAGAATATTGCTCAAAGCGGCGTAAAACCATACTCACTCACTATACAGTTACAGATGCCCAGTCTAAGAACTGTTTTTTAACAATGAACATGGCATGGGATAATACAAATTCTAATTGTCTTATAATGAGAGGTACTTTAACATTGCTTTCATTAACATGATGGGAATCAAAGTAATAATGTCATTTCCTCATTACATCCTCTGCCATGTTTGAAAAGTGGAAAATATTATAAAATATAATATCCTGACATCATGAATCTTTCACGTTGCAAAATTCAATTTGGGAGTTTACAGATATTGGGGACATTTCAAGTAGATTGAGGATAAGATATATTTACCTGGATTATAGTGGTACAGCCCATCCTAGTGACAAGCCATATATACCTGGATTATAGTGGTACAGCCCATTTTAGTGACAAGCCATATATACCTGGATTATAGTGGTACAGCCCATCCTAGTGACAAGCCATATATACCTGGATTATAGTGGTACAGCCCATCCTAGTGACAAGCCATATATACCTGGATTATAGTGGTACAGCCCATCCTAGTGACAAGCCAATTATACCTGGATTGTTGTGGTACAATCTTCCTAATGACATGTTATATTTACCTGGATTGTTATGGCACAACCTGTGCTATCCTAGTGACAAGCTACATTTACCTGGATTTTTTGTGGTACAATCTTCCTTATGACATGTTATAAATACCCGGATTATTGTGGCACAACCTGTCCAAGTGAAAATCTACATTTACCTGGTTTGCTCTGGTATGGAGCCGCCTGGGTACAGAGCCTGCCCTGCCTGTTTAGCAGCCCAGTCCCGTGTCCGACCGACTCGTATAAGATCACCTTCAGTCTGAAACAGGATGTAGACAGGGTCAACTGAAG